TCACATAGCTCACAGCAACCTCCAATTCCTGGGCTTAGGCAATTCTCTTGCTTCAGCCTCCCAAGTAGCTGGAACTACAGGCACCCACTACAACACCCAGCTATTTTTTGTTGCAGTTTGGCTGGGGCCAGGTTTGAACCTGCCACCTTGAGTATATGGGGCCGGTACGCCACCCACTGAGCCACAGGCACCGCCCTATTCTAATGTTCTTAAGCAGTTAGGTTCCCCACCTTCATTCATATTCTGAATTGTAATAACTACAACTCTTGGAACTCTACTTGTAGGTAAATCTGGAATTCTCAGCTCACATTAGATCCAGCTATCACAGATACTGAAACCAAACCTCATTAGCCAAACTTGAGCACTGCTCTATTTGCACATCTAAGAAAAATGTCAATGTTCAGAACTTAGAATCTTAAGTTAAAAAAAAGTAATATATGTAGGGAGCAGTGGCTCAGGCCTATAATCCTAGTCTTCTGGGAGGCAGATGCTGGTGGATTGTTTGAGCTCAGGAGTTCGAGACCAGCCTAAGTAAAAGCAAGACCCCGGCTCTACGAAAAATAGAAAAATTACCAGGTACCTGTAGTCTCAGCTACTCAGGAGGCTGAGACAAGAGGATCATGTGAGTCCAATGTTTGAGCTTGCTGTGAGCTATGATGACACCACAGCACTCTACCCAGGGCAGCAGAGTGAGACTCTGTTGTCTCAAAAAGAAAAAAAAAGGCAATATGGAAATACAACCTCACAAAACTTATGTTCTATTTGACTACCCTGCAAGTGTTGTTTTGATTCCCAAGCCTACAATGACCTTTAAATAACCAGAACAAAGTTTAATACTATTCAGAGAGCACTGTTCTAAGATTTATTTGGCACTTAAGTTGACTATCGTAAAGCTTTGAAGGACAAAAGAACAGTCAATGACACATCCATTTAAAGCTACCATGACCTGTCACTACAGAGTCATTAAACAACATTTTCAAGGAGTAAGCAGAAAGCTTTCTAACTTTGAACTATTGGATTTAAGATTATCTTCTGTTCTTTATGGATAAGTTATTTACTTTCTAGTGAAAATATGCAATATTTAAAGCCACACTTTATCAGTTATAAAATTCACTGATAATTTCTAGCATTCTTCCTAAAGATGAATAGCATGAATAAAATTTGAAAAAGTAATACAGAAATTCAATAATCAGACTCAAACTCTATGCACATATTTACACATACACACACACAATTAAGAAGCTGGCTAACTTTCTCAGAAAATTATTTTCTCAAGAAAAAATGTAAGTATTAAATATTTATCCTTAAGAACTTTCATTTATTACTGTTTTTGGCCAAATGGATGCAAAAGAAAATACACTCTCTGTATGACATATTTTGTTGACTAACTATAAGCTTGAATTAAAGAACCAACTTCAAAAATTGTATAAAGGTAGGGCTGTGTGCAGTGGCTCATGCCGTTAGTCCTAGCACTTGAGGAGGATGAGGTAGCAAGATCTCTTGAGGTTAGGAGTTTGAGACCAGCCTGAACAGAAACAAAACGCCCATCTCTACTGAAAAACAGAAACAAATGACTAGGTATGGTGGTGCAAGCCTATAGTTGCCCTATATTCCCAGCTACTTGGGAGGCTGAAGCAGGAGGACAGCTTGAGCCCAGGAGTTTGAGGCTGCTGTGAGCTAGGCTGACACCACTGCACTCCAGCCCCTGCCACAGAGCCAAAGCAAGACTCTGAAACTGAGTATCCAATTCAGAGCTATAGAACTCTTACTCTGATCAGGTCCCCTGTTGACATTAGCACTAATATCTGTTTAGCTCCCCAGGAAAGAAACGTATAGAAATGTTTTACTAAGAAATGTAAGCACAAAAAGCAACAACAGAAAGCAAGTACACACAACTCTGATACTACTTGCTTCACACTTACCTGTGGTTATCTATACAAAGCTTAAAGACAGAGAACAGTTAAACAGGCCAGGAAAGCTAAGTAACTTACTTACTTGCTTTTTTTTTTTAGAGACAGTCTCACTTTATTGCTCTTGGTAGAATGCCATGGCATCACAGCTCACAGTAACTGCCAGCTCTTGGGCTTAGGAGATTCTCCTCCTAAGTAGCTGAGACTACAGGTGCCCACCACAACGCCCAGCTATTTTTTTGTTGGAGTTTGGCTGGGGCTGGGTTTGAACTCGCCACCCTCGGTATATGCGGCTGGCACCCTACTCACTGAACCACAGGTACCGCCCAACTTTCCTATTTCCTACATCTTCTCTTGGCACTGTGAGATCACTTTCTAGAGTATTGTAATTCCCAGAACAATATAAAAGTCAAAGAAAATCAGAAATGGGATGGTCTTTGGAAGCTGCCTTTTCAGTCAGCCTAATTTAAAGATGTGAAGACTGAGCTCCCAAGTCATTTAAGAAGGTTAAGACCTGGCTTGCTGCCCACAGCTCAGTGGTTATGGCGCCAGCAATATACACCAGGGCTGGTGGGTGTCTGTAGTCCCAGCTACTTGGGAGGCTGAGGCAAGAGAATCTCTTGAGCCCAAGAGTTTAAGGTTGCTGTGAGCCGTGACACCACAGCACTCTACCAAGGGAAACATAGTTGAGACTCTGTCCCCCAAAAAAGAAGGTTTAGACCAGTCCAATTCTTGATTTCCCACTGCAATTATCTCTTTCCCTTACTACCTACATAGATACAAATGTCAATAACAAATACATCAAAAGATAAATTTTTTGGCAACGTGCCATTTTTAACAAAAATCAACATGAGATTCAATAATATATGTGAAGGCACTCTGTAAATTGTAAAGTTTAAGATATAAGTATACTCCTATCATATTAGAATAATAAAACATTTTTAATTGCTCATAACAGTACAAGTAAGTAAATTGATTCTAGGAAGTTACAGCCTGCATTTGGAATTTAAATAATCTTAAAAGAAATTAGTCTTCTGACATAATCCAAAAAGATAAAGCAGTAGCACCTAACATTCAGTAAATCATATGTTTGTCAATGGCTTGTTTACTTAAAAATTTGATGAGTGATAGATTTCTACAATATGCTAATTTTAGACAAAATTCACTTTGTAATAAATTGTTCATTACTACTTTTGTACATGATTATTGGCGATCTATTAATACCAACCACATTCTTAAAACCTACAAGTTTAAATACCTTCAGAGTTAAAGGAAAATAGGTTTCTTAATATTGTCTTAATTTTCCTGAGAAACTTATTTGGAAAATCATATAAAATTCTAGTTTGAGTCAACACACAAGAAAATCTAATCAAAATGACTAGTATAACAAAAGCAAACTCAAAGTCTTTTTCCCAACAGCTTAGTTCTAAATTAAAACATGCATATTCAGCCAACAAAGAATAACATTTTGTACTGTCAAATAAACATCCAAGAATGTACGTACTTACAAAAATTAAAATATTGAGAACTGAAATGTTACCTCTCTTCTTACACGATCAACTAGGTTTCATATAAAGTAGACAGTCAAAATTACATTGAATAAATGACCTCAACTGAAAAATCTTCAGAAATACCAATACTACACAGAGAAAAAAAGGACTCTTTTTAAGACAACACAAATTCATTTTCATTTAGGATGAAAATAACCACTAGAAAAACACTTGGGGTATGCACTTTATTCAAGTTTTTTTTTTTTTTAGGCCATCTAATAATGTATAGCATAATCTCCATTCAAAGGACTACATCATGAAATTACTGTGTTCCTGTATGTTCTGCTTTTTCTATTTCTACATCCAAAAGCATGCATTCCTACCATCTATAAATATCCCTTGACATTTTATACAAATATCCTTTTAAAAAGGGTAAAGAACCATACAGGTAATTACAATTTAGTGCAAGTATGGCATGACCTTAAAAAACACCACTTAGTAAGAATAACTTACTATTCTCAATAAAATAAAGGTAACTTTAAGCAGGCATGTTATTATCAATAAACTACTGAAGTCTCAATCAAATCTTGTATTTAAACATTCTCTTTCAACCTCAGTTCATTAAAATTAAACAACACAAAGTTCTTAAGCAGTTTCTGATGTTTACAAAACCACTTTTACATTTTCTTGGGTGATTAAACATTTTCTGACATGACGCTGACCTCCAGCTTTGTATTTGTCTCTAAGACCTGCTAAGTTATAGAATTGGTTTTAAGGTTGGTATTGACAGGTCTTTTTTCTCAAGCTCTATGGAAAGCCTTTTTATTCAAGCACAAACACACCAAGAAAACATATTGATTTAGATATATTTAAATAAAGAGAAGCAAAATTATAACCAATGCTTCTACATTTGCTTGTGAAAAATGCAGTATTTATTTTTGTTTACTTTTACTTTTTGCCCTGTCATTGTTCACCAGA